GCTGGGCCTGGCGGTCTCCTCGCGGCGTGTTAGCGGGCGCTCGCAGGCGGTACGGCGGGGAGGGCGCCGAGAGAGCAGTGCGGGCAGCTAGCTACGTGTTGAACGCTCCGCGCAGGGCAGGGGAAAGGCTCTCCCACGTCCCGGGCTGGATGCTTTAGGGAAGCTAACGCGCCTTGTGGCGTGCTGCCGCTGTGCCAGTTCTGAGAACTGGTGACGATTTGGGTAGGTGATCTCGGTGTTGTAGTTGAACAGCTGACCGCTGTGCTCCGAGAGGCCCAGAACACGGGGAAATGGTCTTAAGTGAGTATCGTGCATAAAATACTTCTGGCCCTCTGGCCACTCCACACCTATTGCTCTCTTGTAAGAGAGAGATGATATCAGAGCTGTACCGTTGGATAGGTAACGCATGAAACGGAGATTGTTAATGACACTCAGGAATGAAAAACTAAAGTGATTTTTTTAAAAAAAAGCATATTTTGTTCTTCACTTAGCAGTAGGGTCATATGTGGTAATGAGACTTAAATGATACATAATGCCTTACTTTAACTGATTTAGGTTTCAACATCTTCTGTATATATTAGATGATGCCAATAGATGTACAAAAGCTGTTTTTTATAGCAAGTGCCACTCTTACAAATTCTTCTATAGGTGGCATGCCTATTGCTCTGGGTTTTAAAGAGGAGAAGGAGATGTACTCTGACTTTTTTCAACTATAGCTTTAAGACATGCCTCAATCTGGTTCTTACTATGCTGCTTACGTTTCACTTTAAGTTAGTAATTGTGCTGCAAAGAAAATGTTACCTAAGGCAAAATGTAACTTGCAATACTAAAATACCATATTAATCGCCCATATCCTTATTGAAGAAGATGGAGAATTTTTGAAATGGAAGCAGTGAAGTAAGCTTAAATTACTGTGTATACACTTGAAAAGATGCATCAGCCTTCAATAATTTAAAGCTTTCAATATTAAATTTAGATATTGAGGGAAACTTTACCTTGATTTGAGCTCTGAGCCTTTCTTTTCCTGTTTAATGCCTTTGAACAATCGAGAATTTTCATTTAATTTCAGTTATGAAAGCAGTGTCTAAGAGTTTTATTTGGGAACAAGACCAGATTTCCAAGGCTAAAATAATTTTCCATAGTCCCCCCCCCCCTCCACAGCTGCCTTCTTAATATCCCCATTATTATAGTCTGGGATCCTTAGTCCTTAGCTCATAGACAAGTTCTCTGAAATTGGGAATGGGATTATTTTCTCTGAACATTGTGGTCCAAGTTGACAAAGTAGTGGTGCAACACATCCTTTGTGTACTGTTACTTAGTGTTCTTATCGTGGGTTGACAGAAGTTGGGCGTTTTCTGATAATTTCTGATGCTAGCATTAGTGCAGGAATGAATCCTCTCATGATATCACTTATGTGGAGGTCAGACATGTCGCAGATCACAGCAGCTAGTTGAACTACTGTCAGCCAGCCCTAACTTTTAAGGCAGAGTGTGATTTTTGCGCGCGTGTGTGTAGGGGTTGGGGGGTTAACTGTTGTGAACCATAAATAGTCTTTCATCTTGCCAAAATTCTGGGAGGTCACCCTCTGGAAATCCTATATGTTCACACAATTCATTCTTATTTGTGATAATGAGTGAACCTGATTTGTATGCTTAAGTCAATTTAAAAGTACAGAGTTCTTCATTTTACTTTTTTCACAAAGATGGTGAAATTACAACAAAGGGGAAGATCTAGGTTTCTAATTCTAACTTTTTTTTTGTTTTTCTAAAACATACTCTTCCATGAAAAGCACCAGAAACAAATTTTTAACATTGTATTTTGCTGTAGAGGCATGAGCACAATTCTGAGTTGCAAAAATAGATAGTGCCATTCGGCACCTACACTACAAAGAACATAACATTACTTTTTCTAAGCTAGGATCGTTCCAAATGTTTTATTGCTACCTGCAAGTTGAGGATAGCGCCTTAGAAAGGATGCTGTTTACTTTCTTTAGTGCATCACTGTAGTTGCCCCAAACTGCTATTTTCAGTGGAAGTTTTCCCGAACAAGGAAGGATGGAATGTAATACAGTGAAAGCTGTGCTGAAAACTTGATACTCTTGTGCTGTTGCCTTACAACGCTTGAACATAATTAGTACCTCTGTAAGAAGAACGACTTGGTAAAGGTCGTGAGGTGTCACAATAAAAAAAGTACCCTTGTCCCAGACACGGTAAAATCTAAAAGCTTTTTGCATCATGAGCGAGAGATTTCTCTTGGTGGTACTGTCTGAAGGGAGCATATAAATAAGAAAATAGGAAGCTGATGGCACCCTCCTGTATTGTGATGTTGCTTCTGACAAAATTTGTTGGATCGGGAAAGAAGTACTGGTAAACACTGCAGCCCTTTCACTCATCTTCCAAAGAGCTCTCACTGTCTTTTACGCATCATAACCTCACTGTTTTCTCCCATCAGACTGGGTAGCTTGTGGAAGCAATGTGCTGACTTTTCTTCTGGTGGCAGCTTTTCTTGTTTCAAGGTGTCATATCTGTTTTCTATAGGAAAAGAGTTACAATATCGAAAGAGAAGGATATGGAGGTTCCTGTTCAGCATAGTGCTGCTGCTGGGGCCTGTGATTATTTGATTCTGATATGACAGAGATTTTTTATTTGTAATTATTTAATCATTAATCTTAATAATTTTAATTATATTAATACTTGTGAAATACTGAGATGTGGTATTATTTTGTAAAATGCTTTGGAAATCTTGAAGTGCTTTAATACCTTTGGTAGCATGTTCTGAAATACACTATTTCTATACGTATGATTTCTGGGCAGAGCCTCTTTGAAGGTGGTATTCTAAGCATTGTAAACTGTCCGATTCCAGTAAGTCTGCAGGATGTTAGCAAATGTTATATAATGAGTCACAGGGTTTTATGTAATTCTGAAAATAAAGGCTTTAGGCATTTTTTTTTTCTAACTTTAGGAAGGCATCAGAAACAGAAAACTTTTTTATAATTGTTTATCATTAGATACCTAAAAAGCTAAGCGAACAGGATTTTCTTAACTCTGTTCTGTCTACATTTCATATTAGCATTAATATCTGAGCCCTTCAGAAACAGCTTTCTAAACTCTTGTCTAGGTATGGAGTTTCACTGTGTCGCACTTAGGATGCCGGCTTGTTTCAGGGTGGATTTTCTACACTGCAAGGCTCAGAGAAGAAAGACTTTTTTTTAAAGAGGGGAATGTGGAACTGACAAACTGGAAGTCTGAGCCAGAGAAATTACCCAAGTAATTGCATTCAGCACAAGAGGCTAATCTATTGTTAAATTAACTTGAGAACTTCTGTGACATAGTGTGTGTTAAGATATGTTTTATATACTTTTATAATTGCATTTTCTCAGTTCTTTTCTGTATTGTGGTGATCAGTCAATAAAGGGGGAATGATTATGCAGAATGGTCAGGGCACAGTGAGGAAATGCAATAGAAAAGGCATTGAACTACTATGGACACCTGATTTCTGTTCTTGGCTTTGTCGCTGGTCATCTATGTTACCTTCAGTTCATTCACTTAGCTATCTGTGCTTTGTCTTTCTCTTGCCTTCTCTTGTATCATTCAAACAGAAATGACCCTCCATTGGTTGGTAGTGGAGCTTCAAACTAGTGGTTGCATCCAAACGCTGTTGTAATACATACAAAAAAGAGTAAAGCTACTGTTCTCTGCAGTTAAAAGCATGAACTAAAACTTGGATCAATTCCCCTCTCCTCCCCTCCATCCTCCCCAATCTTTGAGTTTAAGTAGTTTTAAAGGGGCTACTTGTGTTATTAAATTTTGAAAACAGCTTTTAAAGATATTGGAATATATTACACCTAGAAGAAATTACTGACTTTGGAAAAACTAGATTACAGTAGTCATTTTCTGGTTGCATGCTAGTATCAAACAACTCTATCTAAAAATAATATTTATTCTAAGTGGGCTTGGAGGCCTGACTGAATTCTCTCTGTATTTTTAAAATGACTGTAATGCTTCCCTGAGGAAAAATGAGCTACTTGAGGGGATGGGGAGTTTTACTTTATCTCCAACATGACAACAGGGTGAATTAATTAATAAAGGTAATCTCAAAGAGAATAATTAATGAAAACACTTATTTTAACTACTTGTTAATCACTGACTACGACTCCTTTACTGCACAGATGTTAAATCTCATCTATAAAGTGTTTGTTTATTCATATTTTTTGTTCTTTTACACATAGATAAGTGGAGGCTGAAATTTGTGCAAAGTTGTTAAAAGTCTTTCTTCTCATCCTGATGTGTGTTGATGGTGAAGACGCTTTTCAGTCTTACTTTTTCAGTTTTCCTGTTGGTAAAATGTGGAAATTTTACTGTTGCCCATTTGGGTTGTGATGCATAAAGAATTGTAAATGGCAAAAGTATTAAGGTGGCTGAAGTATTCATTGATTTGATTTTTTTAATAAGACTATGGCCACCAGAGAGCTGCAAAAAACTATATTCCCAGGAGCTTGACTGTTCAACTGATAAAGCATCGCTTTCAGCTCCTTAAAAAGGGAGGAGGGGGGGAGTAGCCTCAGAAGCAAGTATGGATATATATGTTTTAAGGAAACAATTCAGTTGTGTCTGCCAGTGTACTGTGTCTTGATAGGAAACTGGAAGATAGTGGCATTAACCTGTGGAGACAGTATAAATTGTCTTCTCAGATTGCACTTGGGAACTATGTAGCAAAAGATGGGAACAAAGTGAATGAAGAAGATAAGACATTGGCCCAACTATTTAGTCAAAGAGCAGTATCGGGGCATCTTTACAATTTTGTATAATCGGGGGAGCTGTTTGAGGTGACCTTTTTATGCTTACTCATTTTTTGCTTCTAGAAACTTGGCATCTATACAGGTGTTTAATGTAAAGAGGCTCTTATTGAATAACTAACTCCTATATAGATGTTCAGATGGATGGGATAGTTATGATGAGCCAAGAAATAGAAAAATATGTCCTGAATGAAGCAAGTGAGATAATGATCTGGAAGGGTTAACTTGTTTGAAGAGGAATAAAAGTTCCATTCTGAAAGTCTTATGGGGGGAGAAAGAAATATTTTAGGAAACTTTAAATGGATTTAACTGAGTTCCGGAGATAGTTTACTGAAGTATAAATTAGAGGTTATTTAACTGTTGATGTGTGTTGTTTTTTTTTTTTTTTTTTGGTAAATGTTCTCAT